TCTGTGTTACTTGGTCTTTTTCCTTCGCTGCTCTTAATATTCTTTCTTTATTCTCTATGTTTGGTGTTTTGATTATTATTTGGTGAGGGGACAAATTTTTTTCATCCAATCTACTTGGTGTTTGGTAAGCTTTTTGTACTTTCATAGGCATATCCTTCTCCAGGTTAGGAAAGTTTTCTTCTATGCTTTTGATGGATATGTTTTCTGCACCTTTCAGTTGGACTTTTAAGCCTTCTTCTATACCTATTATTATGTTTGGTCTTTTCATGGTATCCCATATTTCCTGGATATTTTGTCTTAAGGATTTGTTGGATTTAAAATTTTCTTTGGTTGATTAATCTATTTCTTCTAGTTTATCTTCAGTGCCTAAGATTCTGTCTTATGTCTCTTGTATTCTGTTGGTTATGCTTACATCTTTAGTTCCTGATAATTTACTCAGCTTTTCTATTTCCAGCATTCCCTCAGTTTGTGTTTTCTTTATTGTCTCTCTTTCCGTTTTCAGTTTTTGAACTGTTTGAAATTTTTCCTTCACCTGTTTGATTGTTTTTTCTTGGTTTTCCTTGATTTCTTTAAGAGATTTGTTGATTTCTTGCATTTCTTATTTTATTTTCTTCCATTTTTAAGGGATTTTCTCATATCCTCTTTGAGGGCCTCTATCATGTTTATGAGGTTGCTTTTTAAGGTCATTCTCTCCTGTTTCATCTGCATTGGAATGTTCAGGTCTTGCTGGTATAGAATCCCTAGACTCTGCTGGTGTTATCTTGGTTTTTCTGTTATTGAATGTGTTTTTATTTGTCTTTTCTCATTCCTTCTTCCAGTGGGTACACATGGTGTCTCTTCCTCTCCTGGTGGGTACGCGTCTAAGGTTCTCTTCTGGTAGGTTCAAGCAGGTCTAATACTCCAGTGGGTCTCATGATGGGTGCAGTTGTGTCTGAGACACTCTAGGTGAAGGGCAAGCCCAGGAAGATCCAAGGAGGGGGATGTAGGGAGTTGGAGCCCCAAACATCACCCACACTCACCTCAAGCAGAGGGGGAGGGTGGAGGGAGCCATGACTGGAAGGTGGAGGGGTCCAAGACTGAGGTGTGGCCAGACTAAGGGAGGTCCTTTCTGCTGGGGTGGGTCTACTCTAGACTCAGAGCAGGCCCAGGAAGATCCAAGGAGAGGGATTTATGGAGTTGGGGGCCCTGAGCAGAAGCCACACTCACCTCAAACAGAGAACTTTCCATGCCTTTTTATCTGGCCTGAAGCTTGAGTGGTACTCAGGGTTCAGCCTCTAATTGTGAAATTCCTTTATCATGTATTTTAGCTCTCTACTAGTTATCCCATAATACTCCATGGCTGGCTGTTTAAAAAGATCTAATAGAGCTGGGTAGTGGCCCATGCCTTTAATCCTAGCACTTGGGAGGCAACACAGGTGGATCTCCATGAGTTCGAGGCCAGCCTGATCTACAGAGCAAGTTCCAGGACTGCCAGAACTGTTACACAGGGAAACCCTGTTTGGGGTGGGGGTGAGGGGCATCTCCCCACACAAGCTCCTGAATCTCAATTTCTTTTTTGGCTTTGAATATACTGGTAGACAGGGTTGGAATAAAACAATTAATTTGGACTGTTATTCCATGAGGCTTTATAAATAGCCTCCATATTTTTGAACAGGCCCTACAAGGAACCTAAATGACTTAAACTGTGATGGTTATACATCTTTCTATAGTAATTTTACAAGTATGTGGCTGATATTACCTTTCTCTCCTTCCTTAAAAAGATGCTCCCAAATCCCCTAATATAAATTTAAAATTTCCTAGTTGACAGAGGATATAAAATTTCTGAGCCTATGGCCAGCTTGATGTTACAAAAGGCATTATAGCTAGGATTAATTTTGACTCTGGAGCATAGATTCTTTTGGGGGATTGTATTTTAAATACCCAGACCCTTCCAATTCCTAGTACTAGAAAACATCTAAGGATTTTTTAAATGCTTTATTTATTTTACTTTATGTGTATTGCTGTTTTGCCTGCATGTATGTCTGTGTGATGGTGTCAGATTCCCTGGAACTGGAATTACAAACAGTTGTGAGCTGCCATGTGGGTACTGGGAATTGAACATGGGTCCTCTGGAAGAGCAACCAGTAAGTGCTCTTAACCTCTGAGCCATCTCTGCAGCCCCAGATTTTTTAAACTAACAGCCTACTGTTGGTTTTTTGATTCCTGAATACAAATTCATGGATGTTTTGCTTGCATGTATATCTGTGTGTCAGCAACATGCCTTGTAACTGAAGAGGCTGGAAGAAGGTGATGGATCTCTTGGAACTGGAGTTAACAAACAGTTGTGAGTTGACATATAGGTGCTGAGAATCCAACCCAGGTCCTATGCAATGCAAATGGCACTCTTAATTGGTCTAAATAATAAAAAGCCAGGGTCAGATATAGAGGGAAATGCTGAGGAAGCTGAGGAAGTGGAGACAGGAAGGGATATGGCTGGGCAGAGAGAGGAATATAAGGTGAGAGGAGACAGGAGCTCATTGCAGTCTGAGCAATTAGTATGAGGGCAGACTGACTCCAGGTTTTTATTATTAATACCTATTAGAACTCTTGCTACATATGGTAGTTTCCTACAAACAGAAATATTCCCCCAGGAGATAGGAAGAGGCTCAAGAGGGAAACAAACATCTTATGTCTAGGAAAGCTGAAACTTGCAAGATGCTAAAAGGTGAGACCTCTGGGACCCTTCTAGATGCCTGCAACCTATGCAGCTGTTATGAGTCACCACCTATGTTAGGGTGGGCTTTTTGGTGATGCTGCTGCTTTTGAATCATCTATGCCCTAGTTAAGTAGCTCCTTACCCATATTTACTTTGGTCTGTTGTTGGCTCTCTATCTCAGCTGTATAGATGTACATATGTTACATCTTCCCAGGAAAATGTTCTCACCCAACATTATGGTATAATTCCCTTGATAATAATTCCTATAATAAAATTGGAGATAATAAGCCCGTTATGCAACCGTTCATCTTACAGATATTATAGAGGCCTGACATCTGCCTCCTGGAATTTTGTCATTGTGGGCTGGATTAATAGCCTTAACTATTGATTTGGAACTTGCGGCAAACAGGTGACCATAAACACTCACTGTAGATGTGCATACATGTTGCTATCTGGAGACAAAGTTACCTCAGTGGTGATCATAATCCATCAAGCATAGGCCCTAGATCTTAGCTTCACTAGAGGCAGTGCATTTGTCAGCCAATGAACAGGAGGAACCTATGATATGATTTTAGGAAATCAAAGAGCAGACATGGTGCCAAAATCACATTGTTTTCAATTCCCTCTGTAGAATTTTATCTCTTTCTCAATTTACTCTTTAAACGAAATTAACTAAGCTTTATGCAGAGATTATAAACAAGCACTGGATAATGTACCTTAAATCAGAAAACATCTGTGGTAGTTTGGATGAAATGTCCCCCATAGTCTTGGGCATTTGTATATTTAGTCCCAGTTTATGGCACTGTTTAGTATTCCACTCTTCAGTTGAGTGGCATCTAGGATGTTCCCAAGATCTGGCTATTATGAATAATGTTGCTATGAACATAGTTGAGCAAATGTTCTTGTGGTGTGACTGTGCCTCCTTTGGGTATATGGCCAACAGTGGTATTGCAGGGTCTTCAGGTAGGTTGATCCCTAATTTTCTGAGAATGTAGCAAATTTGTAAACAAGTGTTTGGTGGCAAAGAACTCTAGAAGACCTGTGACAGCTATTTCTGGTTATCAATTGACTACATCTGCAATTAACCAAAATCCAAAAATAGATAGGCACACCTGTGAGGGGTTTTTGCTTAATATGAAGTGGTAAGATACGCTTCTAATCTAGACCGTAGACATTATCTTCATTCCTCTTGGAGACCTTAGTTGACTGGAAAAGTGAATTATAATAACACTACAGTTATCCATTTAAAAAGCTTTGGCAGGGGCTGGTGAGGTGGTTCAGAGGTTAAGAGTGCTGACTACTTTTGCAGAGAACACAGGTTGGATTCTCACTTCACAATGGCAGTTCACAATTGTCTGTAATGATATTCCTAGGGGCTCCAGTGCCCTATTCTGGCCTCTTCAGGCACCAGGTATGCATATGGTACACTGACATATATGCAGACAAAACAACCATATGTATTAAATAATTAAAATATTTGAAAAAGCATTGGAAGGAAAGTCATCTTATTTGGAAGTCAATATTACCAATAGACTTCTTTAGATTTCATATAGGCCCTCAATCACTTATAGGCACCCATATATCAAGATCTGTTCCTAGATAACAAAGCTCTATCTTTAAGCCACATTGCCTATAGCCTCAATGAATTTCAGCAGGATATAAAAATATGGGCTACAGAGACTGAATAATATATCACCAAAGTCTGTCACATCATTTGGGGCAGGACCTAGGCCCTCCCCCATGTATCTAGGCTGAGAGAGTATACTGGAGACGATGTGGAGAAAGGGGAACACTTCTCCATTGCTGGTGGAAATGCAAACTTGTACAACCACTTTGGAAATCAATATTTTTAATTTTTCTTTGTTCTCTGTACATATGTGTGTGATTTTTATGTGTGAGCATGGGGAATCTGTTGTCTGTGACTCCCATCTCCCCTTCCTGGGATTATGGGCATTGGATACTGTGCCCAACTTTATATACGTTCTGAAGATTCCAACTCAGATCCACACACTTGCAAAACAAGTTCTTTGACCCACAGAGCCATCTTCACAGCCATGAATCTACTTTTTGATGAAGAAAAAAAGATGTCAATATTTGACTGAGTAGAAGAATTGTTTGTGACAGCCATCTACTCAACTATTTGCACTCAAGCAACATGGGTATGTCATTGCACCTGAGTACAATTAACTTTGTCATACTTGTAAACTATAATAAAGCCTTTACTCAAATACCCAGCTTTCCAAACATGTTCCTTATTTGCATCTAGTGCCTTCAATTAACATTAATAAGAGAAATTCAGTCACCATTCCTTCTTACAAAACTTTTATTAAAGCCAGAAATGAAATAGGAAAAGTGAAATAAAATTTTAAAATCAGTGTCATTGTAGGTACAGAGATGATATGAATGGGGGGCTAAGGAGATCATTAAGAAGAGGAATGTTTGTGGGCTTCTTCAGTTTGGACACTGAACTACAGGCCATGATAATTCAGCTGATTCCAGTTCTATTTTTGTGCCTTTATAGGCAGACTGTGTATGCCTCAGGCCTCCTTCTTCCCTAAGGAAAGCTTAACTCCTCACCGGTCCTGGATTTGCAGCTTTCCCAACTTGCAGGCTGAAGGCCTCCTATTCCCCACCCTGCACTGGGAATAAAATAAAAAGGAGATACAGAAAACAGTGAAATTAATAACAGCACTGTCTTATTAAATTGGTTCCTAGAGTTCTCAGGAAGGTTCCCACTACTAAGTGTACAGTTAAATCATGTGCATTTGACTCACAATGGCCTCTGTTATCATTCCTGTAGCAAACACCAGGCCCTAGGTTAGAAATATAGCCATCTCTTATATACACTGTCTCCACTAAAAAAACAAGATTTATGTGGCATCACTTTGTCTCAGTGGTACCTTTCTTAGGAGCATTTGCTGTTTCTAGTTTACAAATTCCTTGTACTTTGTTTCACTGTGCTTTTGCGCAACCATACTTCAGCAATTTTATCAAAGCAGGGCATAATTGTATACATCCTGGAAGTGATGTTATCTTTTACCTTGTAAAAGAGTACCTACTATTTTTTGTTTGCTTTTTTTTGTTTTTGTTGTTATTGTTGTTCTTTTTCCAGACAGGGTTTCTCTGTGGCTTTGGAGGCTGTCCTGAAACTAGTTCTTCTAGACCAGGCTGGTCTTGAACTCACAGAGATCCCCCTGCCTCTGCCTCCCGAGTGCTGGGATTAAAGGAATGCACCACCAGCACCCAGCTAGGGCACTCCTATTTTTAATATATCTGAAAGGGTTGTATTATTTATGTACTAATACTGAAAATACATTCTTAGAAATGCAAATTTGTATATTGAGAGATATTCCCTGCTGGCAACTTCAGCTGTAACCTCTGTCTTTATCCTTGTGTGGTTCTTGACCCTTAGGGTTATACTTTTTATGCACTAGTTTTTTTTCCAGGTAATCAAGGATCCAAACACAAATATCTCATACTTAGGGAATCTCTGTTCCTATCTATAGGCATTGACAGTTTGCAGCCCTGGATCCCTGCTTGGGATTTCTGTGATTGTTTATCAGTTACAAGGAGAAGAAGGAAACCCCTCATGGGCTCTGACCTGTGTGTTGTAGTTTGGAGCAGGATATGAGGTCCAAGTGTACTAAGGTCCTTGAACTTGTTTAAAGTACTTGACAATTTCACTATTTTCCACATTGTAAAAAAGAGATGTATTCACAACTTTCTGTTTTGAAAATTAAAATGATTTCTTGTGTGATATGAAAATATATTTTGTCATTTATTTTTGTTTGAGGCAGTGTGAAATGTTGACACCCGACGACAAAGTCTACAACTTCTCTGGCTACACTGATCCTCATAGAGCTGGCTGAATATTTGATCCACCTTCGTATATAAGACACAATAGCAAGGCTGAAGTGGCAGAGCTGGATCTGTTCATTTCTTAGTTCAGTTATATCTTCTATCTGTAAGTGTTCTGAAAGATCAGAAAGGAAATGAACTAACACTCCATTCCCAATTGAGACTTTTGTTTTGGGTTCCTCAGCCTCCAGAACCATAAAGGAAGTAGGCAAATTTTCAGTCTCTGGACTTAATCATTTCTCAAGTGGAGGAGAAAACCAGTCAGGAAACCAGTTGGGATGTAAAATAAATAAATAAATAATTTTCTGGCCATTTTTATCACTTAAAAGTTTTAGTCTTTCATAAAGAAACTAGCAACAATGTATGTCTTCCCTGAGGTGCTAAAAATTTCCCTGACAGCATCAATCAGCTCACAAAACAAAGAAAAATGTGATTGCATAGGAGACTATGTGGTCAAATATGGATTTCTGACTAGCCATAAGATACTGTAGCATCATACAGAGCCTCTTACTGAAAATGTTTCCCTTTCAAATACTAAAAGCACCTGTGCAGATTACCATGAAAAGGAGAAGTGATGGTTCATCTTATGTCTGCAGGTATTTCCTACACGTCACCAAGACTGACTCAATTGTTGTATTTCTTCAGACTTCTCAGAGGTGATATAAGGCAGAAGAATTAACACTGCAATTGACAGTCTGGACAACTATAAACCAGACACTGTGCCTCAATTCTGTGAATAATCTTAAGTAATATGTTCACTCTTCTATTTCTTGGTTTTCTTTTGAGCAATAGTGTCTGCTAGCTCTTTCTTTTAAAGTCTTTTAGAAGATAGGAGACAATACATACAAAAGCATGCTGGGCAAAGGGCAACAGTAACAGAATAGCAAACTGAAGCCATGTCTTCAGTGGTACTAGCGTCATCTAATATGTTCATCATGAAGCCTTTACTAAGGAGTTACACTTCAACTTTTGCCATTTCCTATTGTCTAGATAGATCTATTACCCATCACTGGAATTGTATCATCTTGGGGAATAGAAATGACTGACCTGATGAAATCTTTGGTATAAAGACTTTAGATGTACCTGCCACCATTGTTAGACTTGATTTCCTCAATTGTGTCTTCAGGGGTTGTGACAAGACCATCTCCAAGTCCCCTTTGCTAGGATAGTTTATTATTATGATCTAAGTCTAGGGAATAGGACAAAACTTCAGATGCTGACAGCAAATTAAGTCATTCTGTTGGTATCAATACTAGTTCCAACTTTTGCTGCTAATACTTCATTTGACAAAACATTAACAGAGTATTTGGAAAAACATTTTTGTACTCCTTTGTTGTTTTTCCTACTCTACCTGAATGAATTATATTTGTTTTACATCTGTATCTGTGGCTGTAGCATTCTTTTTCTCTAACTGTGGAATCAATGGCAAGCATCCCTGAGGCTGGAAAAATGAACCTCTGCCACAGGCTCTACCATTGGGAACTGGACTCCCTGAACTAAATGCATAAGCTCTTTTCTAAAGACTTTTGCCAATACTTCCCAAACCACACATTTACTGTTGGTTTTGCACTACACTGACCACTGGTGTATTTTTAATGGAAAAACTGCAAACATATTCCCAAGCTTCCCTGTTGCACACTTTTCCCAAGCCCACACCTCTCACACTTTGGATTGCCTCTCATCGGTCCACTCCTGCTTGGTGCTCTGGAGAGCTTGTGTCTTCTGCTCATCCACTTGGACATAGTCTACTCTCTGTTCTTCTGAAAGAAGAAGTTTCTGAAGGGGGAGAACAAAAAGGTTTTAATTTCATCTTAATTTAAATTTTTTTTGGAGGATTGCATTTGTTTCCTCTTCTCCCTACAGAAACTTGATACTGTATGTGTATTGTGTTTGTAAGCATCTCTTGAGTTGTTTGATTTGCTTATATCAACAGGGTACAATTGGAAGTGATGCATATTGACACTAAGTAGAAGCATCCTGGAATTCAGTCTCTCTTCTTTTACTCTGCCAAGAGCCCTAGATTGAAAACTGTCTGGAACACAAAAGCACTGGCCTATAAAGTCAAACTGACAAATGTGCCTTCTCTACTTGTTTCTCTCATTTATCTCACTCACTGATTTTTCTTCAATGCCAGAGCAGTGTTTGGGAATGCTAAGAGATACACAAATGAAATCATTCTATACATTCTGTTCAATAGGTTGCTTTTATCCACAACACAATAGCTGTCAAGTGAGTGATATCAATTAATAGCTAATATCACTTATTAATCACTCAGTCCTCACAGTCCTTGATGTAGGTGGCATTATTTATGATCTCTACTGTATAAAGGAGAATACTACCCAATGGAGTTGAAACTGCATTCAAGGTCATTCACTAAGATTCACTTCAGCGCAGAGCTCCTTTCACCATTCCTTAATAACTAGATAGGCTATCTATTACGTGTTCTCTAAACAAACCCTTCCTATGCCTCAAGAGCCTGTGTGTTCCTCACCCTCATCTCTGCCTATGGATCTTTTTCTATAACTTCTAGGGCCCCAAATTTGAAGAGCATGAATATTACATGTATCTATACACAGGCACCCAGAGAAAATATCCTAAAGGAAACATACTGGGATTTCATTCTTTCTGGATGTCAGGATTAAGGTTAATTTTAGCATTTTGACTATACACACGTGTACTTCTAAAATCTAAGGAGAGTACCCATGGTTTGATCATTAGAAAAACCTAAGCAAAAGTAAAATCACCTGGGAATAATTCCTACCTGCTGCACAGGGGCTGATGATGCTGAATTGAAGTCCAGGGCCAAATAATCCAGGCTGAATTTCTTTGTCCAAGTAAGAGCACTACTACTCATAGAATTGACTGTTCTGTATTCTTCCTAGGAACCAACATCACAAGACTGAGATCAGTAATGAATAGCTAGGGTACATTTGGGAAAGCAAGCTAGTTTGGGCTTCATCCCAGCAGCTGCTGCTAGATCATAAGAGGGTGCACATTGGAGTAAGAGTTGACATTTCAGCTGGGCATGGTGGCCCCTGCCTTTAACCCCAGCACTTGGGAGGCAGAGGCAGGTGAATTTCTGTGAGTTTGATGCAAGCCTGATCTACAGAGTGAGTTCCAGGACAGCCAGGGCTACAGAGAGAAAACCTGTCTTCAAACAAACAAACATAGTTGACATTTCATACACAGTACAGTAAGGAGTTAGAAGCACTTGTTGCCATGTCCAGATTTTTAATGTTGGTTCTGAGGATCTAAATTCAGATCCTATTGGCAGGTAGGTACTTCTAATCTGTTAATGTTCTTAATTAACATGATAGATATTCGTGGCTAATTATTTTAATAGCTCATCTTACTGAGTATTGGTAATGATCATTTTTAAAAGGTTTCTCCTAGCACTGTTGTAGAATATTAGTTGAAATGTATTACATTCAGTTATGCTGTGGAACATTTGTTTGAATGATGCAAAGATATGTTGCATTTGTTTAACTCTGTGAAGCTGTGTTACTTTGCCTGTCTAAAACACCTGACTGGGTTAATTAAGAGATGAATGGCCAATAGCAAGGCAGGAGAAAGGATAGGCAGGCCTGGCAGGCAGAGAGAATAAATAGGAGAAATGTGGGAATAAAGGATCGATGATAGAAGGGCAAGATCTAGAGAAGGAGGGATGATGCTTGGGGGAAGCCACCCAGACACAGAGTAAGAAGAAAAGTATATAGGAATTGTGTTCACAGCCATCGCCCAGCTGCTACTGCTCTCTAATGCCAGTGACGCCTTTCATTTGCCGAGATTGAAGAAGGCGGGTAAGGAGGTGCCCATACAATGGCTTGTACAAAGTGAACTGTTTGCAAATCCACTGGTGGTAAAGCACCCAGGAAACAACTGGCTACAAAACCTGCCTGCGAGAATGCGCTCTCTACTGGAGAGGTGAAGAAATCTCATGTTATAGGCCTGGTACTGTGACACTCATTAAATCAGATGCTATCAGAAATCTACTGAACTTCTGATTCAAAAGTTCCCCTTCTAACATCTGGTGCAAGAAATTGCTCAGCACTTCAAACATATCTGGACTTCCAGAGTGCAGCTAGTGGTGCTTTGCAGGAGGCAAGTGAGGCCTATCTGGTTGGTCTTTTTGAAGATACTAACCTGTGTGCTATCCATGCCAAACATGTAACAATTGTGCCAAAAGATATCCATACAGCTAGCACGCTGCATACGTGGAGAACATGCTTTAGACTCTGTTATGAGGGGAAACATTTCGTTCTCATTTCCCCCTCTTTTTCCTGTTATTAGTAGTTCTGAATGTTAACATTTTTTCCATGGGGTCAAAAGGTACCGAAGTATATGATTGTGAGTGGGGAAATAGGGGACAGAAATCAGGTATTGGCAATTTTTCCGTTTTCATTTGTGTGTGAATTTTTAATATAAATGCAAGATGTAAAGCATTAATGCAAGCAAAATGTTTTGGTGAACACATTTCAACAGTTCAACTTTATAACAATTATAAATGAACCTGTTAAAAATTTCTGGATAAAACCAGCGTTTGGAGTTTTAAAAATTAAGTAAATTTCACTGCTTTCCCTCCTTGAGGTCTCTTGACCTGGGGACTGGGTGCAGGTGGACCTGCCCAGGCAGACCAAACCATCCAGAGTCTTCCAACATTGTAGTGCTAGTTCTGCCTACACCACGGGAAGAGGTGACCGTGGATCTGTCTCAAGCCAGCCTTCTGCTTGCCCTACTTGGGGTCTCCTGGCCTGAGGACTGCAATCAGGTGCACCCGCCTGGCAGACCAAGTCATCCAGAGTCTGCCGACATCACAGTGCTAGTCCCACCTCCACCCATCAGGAGAGGGAGTGTCTCAGATCCTCCTGCACCCACCAGGAGAGCCATCAGAGTATTGGACCTGCTTGCACCCACCAGAAGAGAACCTTGGATCTGTACCCACCAGAAAAGGAAGAGACCCAACCTGCACCCACTGGAAGAAGAGATGGGAAGACAACAGTATAAGAACACATTCAAACCCTGTCTCAAAAAAACAAAAAACAAAAATAACAAAAACAAAACACACACACATTCAACAACAGAAAGAACAATGTGACACCACCAGAGTCTAGGGACTCTACACCAGCAATATCTTTGCATCCCATCACATATGAAACAGAAGAGTATGACCTTAAAAACAACTTTATGAAGATGATAGAGACCCTCACAGAGGAAATGAGAGAATCCCTTAAGGAAACGGAGAAAAAACAAACAAAACATTCAAAAAATGGAGGAAAAGACAACACAAAAAAATGCAAGAAATAAACAAACCTCTTAAAGAAGGCAAGGAAAGCCAAGAAAAGAACAATTAAACAAGTGAGGGAAACAATTCAAACAGTTCAAGGCTTGAAAGATGAGATAGCGGCAATGAAAAACACAGTCTGAGGTTGGTGGGAGGGCATGGGAGGAGGGGAGGAAAAGGAAGAGGGACCTAGGATTGACATGTGAAGCGACCTTGTTTCTAATTTAAATTTAAATTTAAAAATAAAAATTAAAAAAACACAGTCTGAGGGAATGCTGGAAATAGAAAAGGTGAGTAAATGATCAGGTACTACAGATGCAAGCATACTCAACAGAATACAAGAGATGAAAAAGAAAATTTCAGGCATTGAAGATACACTAGGAGAAATAGATTCATTGATCAAAGAAAATATTAAGTCCAACAAATCCCTAACACAAAATATCCAGGAAATATGGGACACTGTGAAAAGCCCAAACCTAAGAATAATAGGTATAGAAGAAGGTGAAGAAAACCAACTCAAAGTTTCAGAAAACGCTGTTCCGGCGGCGGCGGGATCAGGTACAACAGGCCCTGCTTCTGGCCTGTGTTCCAGTGCCTGGGGATTGCCTGGGAACTATACAGTGCTTCCAATCTCGGCGGAAGCCAAACACCCCAGACTCCAGGACTTCTCTCCCACCAACGAGACCAGGAAACCAGAGGAGCCAGGGAGAGCAGGGGAGCAGCTGTTCCGGTGGCAGGATCAGGTACAACAGGCCCTATTTCTGGGCCTATGTTCCAGCGCCTGGGGATCGCCTGGGAACTGCACAGACCTTCCAATCCCGGCAGGAGCCAAACACCCCAGACAACAGGACTTCTCTCACACCAACGAGACCAGGAAACCAGAGGAGCCAGGGAGACCAGGGGATCAGCTGTTCCCACGGGATCAGGTACAACAGGATCCACCAAAGGGTCCAGGGGACCAGGTGGGAGGCTAAGTGCTCCAGATTCCTGTTCTTCTTATCCACCCATGGGACCAGAACGAGGACAAGGAATAGAAGAACCACCAGATTATTGGACTTGCTAGCAACCACCAAAAGGGAACTCTGGTCCCCTAACCACCAGACCAGTAAGGGGCTCTTTCTGCACCCACTAGAAGAAGAGATGGGAAAGAGACAATACAAAAACACACTCAGCAACAGAAAAACAAATATGACACCGCCAGAGTCTAGAGACTCCACACCAGCAAGACTCCAACATTCCAATGAAAATGAAGCAGAAGAGAATGACCTTAAAATCACTTTCATGAGAATGATAGAGGCCCTAAAAGAAAATGATAGAGGCCCTAAAAGAGGATATAGGAAAATCCCACAAAGAAATGGAAGAAAAAACAAACAAAAAATGCAAGAAATGGAAGAAAAAACAAACCAAAAAAGGCAGGAAATGGAAGAAGAAACGAAGCAAAACATGCAAGAAATGGAAGAAAAAACAAAGCAAAAAATGGAAGAAAAAACAAACCATAAAAGGCAGGAAATGGAAGAAGAAACAAAGCAAAAAATGCAAGAAATGGACGAAAACGCAAACCAAAAAATGCAAGAAATGGAAGAAAGAACAAACCAAAAAATTCATAAAAGGCAACAAATGGACAAAAAGATAAATCAAAAATTGCAAGAAGCAATGGAAACACTGCAAGGGTTGAAAACTGAAATAGAGACAATAAAAAAAACACAATCTGAAGAAAGGCAGGAAACAGAAAAGCTGGGCAAACAGTCAGGTATTACCGATACAAGCGTTACCAACAGAATAGAAGAGAGGGAAGAGAGAATCTCAAGTGTTGAAGATACACTAGGAGAAATGGATTCATCAACCAAAGAAAACCTTAAGTCCAACAAATCCTTAACACAAAACATCCAGGAAATATGGGACACCATGAAAAGAACAAACCTAAGAATAATAGGTATAGAAGAAGGAGAATAAAACCACCTCAAAGGGGCAGACGGCATATTCAACAAAATCATAGAAGAAAACGTTCCCAACCTTAAGAAAGACATGCCAATGAAGGTACAAGAAGCTTACAGAACACCAAATAGAATGGAACACAAAAAATGTCCCCTCGCCACATAATAATCAAGACCCCAAACATACAGAATAAAGAAAGAATATTAAGAGCAGCTAAGGAAAAAGGTCAAGTAACATATAAAGGCAGACCTATCAGAATTACACCTGACTTCTCCATGGAAACTCTGAAAGCCTGAAGGTCCTGGATAGATATTCTACCAACACTAAGACACCATGAATGCCAGCCCAGACTACTATACCCGGCAAAGCTCTCAATCACTATAGACAGAGAAAACAAGATATTCCATGACAAAACTAGATTCAAGCAATACGTATCCACTAACCCAGCCCTACAGAAAATTTTGGAAGGAAAACTCCAACCCAAGGAAGTTAACTACAACCAGAAAAACATAAGCATTAGAGAATCCCTTTCTACCAACAGCCAAAAGAACAAAGGGGTGAAATTCCACACATAATTCCACCAACAACAACCATTGCAAATCGAAGAAGGATGAGCAATCAATGGTCATTAATATCCCTCAGCATTAATGGCCTTAACTCAC